CAATTGATATTGTCATTAAAATTTTGTACGAAACCTTCTCTTTAGATATAGGTCGTGAAATAGAGTAACTGTCACACGATCACAGGATGAATCGAATTTTATAGAATATGCAGGTAGTAATAAATAATTAATAATAATTTTTCGCTAACATTTATTTATTCTTACATAATCCTTCATCGATTTATTTAGTATTCATTTATTTTACAGTAAGCTTGTAAATGTAATTATTATAACCTCACGTCTGTCATTCAAATTTCGTCAAAATGATGCAACAATATATGAAGGAATTGGAGCAGGTAAATTACTGCAGTTACTAAAATCATAAAAACTATTTGTATAATATTAATGACAATATTAAGAATTATGATGTTCGTTTTTTAAGGATCCATTTGATCCTGAAGAATTTGTTGAAAGACTAGCTTGGAGAACAGTTAATGACACTATAAAGGACAGTGGAAAAACATTTTTTGATCCTATGATAGTACATGAAACATTTTTGCAAGCAATAAAGGACTTGCAGATTTTGCAGGAACGTCAGCAGAAAAAGTGTGATAAACTTGAAATAGCATTAAAGGATGAAGAAGCAAGACATATGCTTGAAATACTTGAATTACAAGAAAGAAATAAACATTCTATTGATTTATTTCATCAATTAGATGAAAGAATTAACCTTGTAGCTACTAAAGTCTTGCATTTAGGAGACCAATTAGAAAGTGTTAATACACCTCGAGCCAGAGCTGTCGAAGCTCAAAAGTTAATGAGACATTTTTCAGATTTTTTAAGTCCTGGCCCTTTGACGGATCCAATTTTTACTGACAAATCATCGGTACAAATGCTTGGTTTATATATCTAATGTTTAAGTAACTGCTATTGTTTGTAAGTTATAATTATTAAAATTTTATATTCTGCTACAGCTGGATGAAGCAGCAGATGTGATACAAAAACTTCATCTAATTTCACAAGAATTGCCTTCCGATAAGTTTGAACATGCAAAGAAAAAGATTGCTGTCAAATATGATGAAATTGAAAGAAATCTTATAGAAGAGTTTGTTAGAGCGCACAACAGAGAAGATGCTAATCGTATGAGGGAATTGGCATCAGTTTTGGCTCATTTTAAAGGATATTCTCAATGTATTGATGCATTTATAGAACAAAGTCAAATGGGTTCATTTGGTGGGAAAGATGTTTTTCAAGATGTGATACCAATGTGTACAAAATATCATAAATTGATGCAACAAGTATTTACAAATCCTGAACAAGTAATGGCGAAGTTTGTGTTAAACATTTACCATTTAAGACTTCAAAAGTATGCAGTTGCTAAATTAGCTGACAAAAGTGATCCTGAGAAATATCTGAAAAATTTACATGATCTGTATACAAGAACTGTAAAACTATCTATAGAATTAAAAATGTTTAATATGGGTACCGATGATACTTACCTATCAAAACTTACCAGGAACATATTTCAGAAATATTTGGATACTTACATTATGTAAGTTTATAAGATAGTTCATATATCCATGTTACATTGAATTAATTTACATATTATTTTAGTATTGAAACAAAATCATTAAAGGAAAAGTCAGCAGCTCTTCTTATTGAGTATTATGAATCTAAAAATCACCAAAAAAAACAGCTTCAAACTGGTGGTTTCCAAGAATTAAGAAGAGATTTGCAAGCGGTTTTAGGTGCAAGGACTAACATAAATATTGCACAAATAGAAAATTATGGTGGAGAAACTTTTTTATCAGAAGAACTTGCAATCGCTTTATTACAGAGAAGTAAAATGGCATTTCAGAGATGTCAGTTATTATTGAAACCTGAAGAAATACCAATAAATGCACTCCAAATTTTGGAAATATTATTACAATATTTGCTAAGTGAACATGTTGACTATGCATTGGAATTAGGCTTACAAAGTGTACCAATTCCCGAAAGTAGGACTCAACCTGAGATCCACTTCTTTAATGTTGTACGTCAATGTAATGCAATTGTGCGTCTTTTAGAAGAACAGTTTAACGACAGCCTCATACCACTTGTTATGTAAAATTTCTTTTTTGGTCTATACTAATACCTGTACAAAGATGTATACTCAAAATATAAATTTTTTTTCAGATCAACATCAAAACACGGAGATTGTATGTTAAAGAAAAAAATTGTATTAGATCAAATTGATATGAAACTTGAAACAGGATTAGATAGAAGTATAAATGCTATTGTTGGCTGGGTGAAAGTGTACTTACAAAATGAACAACGTAAGACTGACTTTAAGCCTGAAACTGATGTTGATACTTTGAATACTCCAGCTTGTTTAACAGTAGTACAATATGTTACTGGAATGATTCGGCATATTCGGAACACTTTAGATGGGAAAAATTTAATTAATGTACGAACTGAACTTGGAGTTAGATTTCATAAAGTTATTTATGATCATCTACAACAATTTCAATTCAACTCTGCTGGTGCAATGTGTGCCATATGCGACATGAATGAGTATCGTAAATGTGTTAAAGAACTTGAAGTTGATATAGTTACTAGCCTGTTTGATACATTACATGCTTTATGTAATTTATTATTAGTTAAACCAGAAAACTTGAAACAAGTTTGCACAGGCGATCAACTGGTATGTATATGTTTGAAGTATTATAATTACAATGTAACTAAATAAGTTTATTAAAATATTTTTTGTTATTACAGGCAACATTAGACCGGAATGTTTTGGTGAATTTCATACAATTAAGAAGTGACTATAAAACACAAAAGTTAGCAAACTGTTTGAAAGGTTTAGCTACATGATATCTTTTCATCCCCTATAAAGATACTTGTGGGCTACTAATTTTTAGTTATACGTTATATAGGGTAACAAAAATTAAAAGCACTCCTTTACAGTACTATTATGCAAAATAAAGCATAATAAATGAGAATGTTACTTTAAGTTCAATAATGATATTCCACTACACGTTCAGTTGTTCAGAATTTTACCAAAAA